TATCGCTGCAGAATGCTGTGGTAGCCATGCTGATTTAGTGTGCCTTGAATTCTAAATAAATCACAGTGTCACCAGCAAAGCACCCCCACACCATCACACCTCCTTCTCCATGCTTTACGGTGGGAAATACACATGCGGACATCATCCGTTCACCCACACCGCGTCTCACAAAGACACGGCGGTTGGAACCAAAAATCTCCAATTTGGACTCCAGCCCAAAGGACACATTTCTACCGGTCTAATGTCCATTGCTCGTGTTTCTTGGCCCAAGCAAGTCTCTTCTATTTATTGGTGTCCTTTAGTATTGGTTTCTTTGCAGCAATTCGACCATGAAGTCCTGATTCACACATTTTTCCTCTGAACAGTTGATGTTGAGATGTGTCTGTTACTTGAACTCTGTGAAGCATTTATTTGGACTGCAATTTCTGAGGCTGGTAACTCTAATGAACTTATCCTCTGCAGCAGAGGTAAATCTGGGTCTTCCATTCCTGTGGCGGTCCTCATGAGAGCCAGTTTCATCATAGCGCTTGATGGTTTTTGCGACTGCACTTTAAGAAACTTTCAAAGTTCTTGAAATGTTCAGTATTGACTGACCTTCATGTCATAAAGTGATGATGGACTGTCGTTTCTCTTTGCTTATTTGAGTTGTTCTTGCCATAATATGGACTTGGTCTTTTACCAAATAGGGCTATCTTCTGTATACCCCCCGTACCTTGTCACAACACAACTGATTGGCTCAAACACATTAAGAAATAAAGAAATTCCACAAATTAACTTTTAAGAAGGCACACCTGTTAATTGAAATGCATTCCAGGTGACTACCTCATGATGCTAGCTGAGAGAATGCCAAGAGTGTGCAAAGCTGTCATCAAAGCAAAGGGTGGCTATTTGAAGAATCTTAAATATAAAATATATTTTGATTTGTTTAACACTTTTTTGGTTACTACATGATTCCATATGTGTTATTTCATAGTTTTGATGTCTTCACTACTATTCTACAATGTAGAAAATAGTAAAAATAAATAAAAACCCTTGAATGAGTAGGTGTTCTAAAACTTTTGACCGGTAGTGTAGATTGCAAAATAGTTGGGAAGAGAACTGATACACAAAACAATGCTGGATTCAAAACGTTTTCCATTTAAATGATTATACAAAATTCTTGCAACCAAATAGAATGTTATGTATCCCAGCTCTGCAGATTTTGCTGCGAAGAGAAAGAATCATTAGATCATTTGTTTTGGTAGTGTCCATATGTAGCTTGTTTTTGGTCGCAGATTCAGGAATGGCTGAAGAATTGCAACATTTACCTGGAGCTAACTCTGCAAATAGCACTGCTGGGTGATTTAAAAAGCCATAGACAATCGATCAATAATATAATAATACTTTTAGCAAAAAATGTTATCTTTAATTTACAATATCTTTGAGAATAGAAAGGTTCCAAACTTTTGTGAAACATCACAGCACCGTTGAAAAATATATGGCAAATAGAAATCAAAACTGAATGGTGTTCAGAGATAGATGGGAGGGGTTGAGTGGAGCTGAAAGATGGGGACTAAAAACAAACAAAAGATAACTATTGTAAAATATATTGTTTCCGTAAAACGTATATACTGTTGTATGTTTAAGCTGGAAGTAGAAGCCTAAGTGTTGTTGTCATTTTGTTGTCCAGTTAGAGAGGGATGGTAGGGTTACGGGAAAATAATAAAGGAAAATATATAACAAAATAAATGTATAATTTATATATATATATATTTACCCACAAAATATGGGTGATTGGAAATGATGCAGACAATTACAGTGATGGAAGCCACTATCTGTCTGCAATATTAAAGCTGACCTACCCCCTAAAAAAAGGTATTTAAAAAAATACATTTTATCATAACAGGTGACAACTATGGACATAAAGAATGTAGAAAGAAGTATGTCATAAAGAGTCTCTTAACATATGCATAAGATCACTCTCACCGTTCTACCGTCAGCTCCTTTGCCACCAGCGTTACCCTGGAAACAAGAGAAACTGTAATGTCAACAGAACTGGCTTTTGAACTAAATGTTCAGTCTTTTATCTTATGTATAAAATGTATTTTTGGTACTACATTACCTCAAACATCCTGTGCCCTATTGAGTTCCCTACTCAGCACTAACCTTCTCTCCTCTCAGCCCTGCCAGGCCACTGACTCCAGGTTCCCCCTGAACAAGAGTTAACACAAATCACTTCCAGGTTAGAAACAGAAACAACACAGAAGGCACGTACGTATGCACGTATGCACGTATGCACGCACGCACGCACGCACGCACGCACGCACGACGCCACGCACACAACCACACCCAACACACACACACACACACACACACACACACACACACACACACACACACACACACACACACACACACACACACACACACACACACATTCCCTTCCAATAAAACACACACCAACCTGTTCTCCCTTCTGTCCCAGCCCTGGTTTTCCTCTCTCTCCTTTGAGTTTCAGGGTTTGTTCCATGGCAACAAGGTTGGCAGCAGGTATTTCACTCAGGGTGGGGCACACAGCACACACATCGCCCTTTTCCCCTTTGACACCATCCGACCCCGCCTCTCCCTACCAAGCATACAGACACATATATCACAGGGAGACAGGTTAATGATAACACCCACTAATAGGCATGTTTCCTTTGAGGTATAGCGTCTAATGTGGTGTCCCTAACAGATTAGTTATTCAACTATATCTAATGTGGTGTCCCTAACAGATCTTTTATTCAACTATATCTAATGTGGTTTCCCTAACAGATCAGTTAGTCAGCTATATCTAATGTGGTGTCCCTAACAGATCAGTTTGTCAACTGTATCTAATGTGGTGTCCAAACAGATCAGCTAGTCATGAAGGGATATAGCCGAATAGTATGATCAGCTAGTATGTCATCCTTGTAGAATGTTAGCTCTGTAGAATATGACCATGTATAGTCTTGTATATAATCTACATCCGTTTGTGCCTTAATGTCCTGTACATTAATGTCTTGGATGTCCCATACATGCAATTTCCTTGGAAGTACGCCAGGCGATCCTATGGAACCAAAGAGGACCTGTACACTGTAGTATGTTATCATGTGTTAAACAAATATTACGTTTGCACATCGTGGCTGTAGTACACCATGTTCTACAGCACTTATTCTTAAGCTAAGTGAACAATCACTATTTTGGGATATAAGCACACTTTATATGAACTTGGATGTTAGCTGAGGGATCATCAGTGTTAGAATGTCCCCCCTTCTTAAGGCAAGAAACAGATGGTCAATGTATACATTGTAGACATTGGAGCCTAATGTGATTTATGTTTGTCTTCATGCACCAGCCCACAGGATGAAGAAGGGAGAGCCTTCTCCATGAATACTGTGTTCAGCCAAAGACTTGTTGAATTGAATGTTGTAATGCTCTTTTCCACGACCGGTCGTTATTAAACAAGCTGAACTTGGTTCAAAGTCTTTGTCATTTTTGTTCTCAATCTTCAATACCATCCTTTTATTCATTTCCGACTGTCAGCTATATCTAATGTGGTGTCCCTAACAGATCAGTTATTCAACTATATATAATGTGCTGTCCCTAACATTTACATTTACATTTACGTCATTTAGCAGACGCTCTTATCCAGAGCGACTTACTTTACTTTTACTTACAAATTGGACACATCAGTTATTCAGCTATATCAAATGTTGTGTACCTAACAGAGCAGTTATTCAACTATATCTAATGTGGTGTCCCTAACAGATCAGTTATTCAACTATATCTAACGTGGTGTCCCTAACAGATCAGTTATTCAACTATATCTAACGTGGTGTCCCTAACAGATCAGTTATTCAACTATATCTAATGTGGTGTCCCTAACATATCAGTTATTCAAGTATATCTAATGTGGTGTCCCTAACATATCAGTTAGTCAACTATATCTAATGTGGTGTCCCTAACAGATCAGTTTTTCAACTATATCTAATGTGGTGTCCCTAACAGATCAGTTATTCAACTATATCTAACGTGGTGTCCCTAACAGATCAGTTATTCAACTATATCTAATGTGGTGTCCCTAACAGATCAGTTATTCAACTATATCTAATGTGGTGTCCCTAACAGATCAGTTATTCAACTATATCTAATGTGGTGTCCCTAACAGATCAGTTAGTCAACTATATCTAATGTGGTGTCCCTAACAGATCAGTTATTCAACTATATCTAATGTGGTGTCCCTAACATATCAGTTAGTCAACTATATCTAATGTGGTGACCCTAACATTTCAGTTATTCAACTATATCTAATGTGGTGTCCCTAACAGATCAGTTAGTCAACTATATATAATGTGGTGTCCCTAACAGATCAGTTAGTCAACTATATCTAATGTGGTGTCCCTAACATATCAGTTATTCAACTATATCTAATGTGGTGTCCCTAACAAATCAGTTAGTCAGCTATATCTAATGTGGTGCCCCTAACAGATCAGTTAGTCAACTATATCTAATGTGGTGTCCCTAACAGATCCATTAGTAAACTATATCTAATGTGGTGTCCTTAACAGATCAGTTAGTCAACTATATCTAATGTGGTGTCCCTAACAGATCAGTTAGTCAACTATATCTAATGTGGTGTCACTAACAGATCAGTTAGTCAACTATATCTAATGTGGTGTCCCTAACAGATCAGTTATTCTAATGCGGTGTCTCTAACAGATCAGTTATTCTAATGTGGTATCCCTAACAGATCGGTTAGTCTAATGTGGTTTCTCTAACAGATCAGTTTGTGTTTGCCTATATATATTTATAGTTGTGTGCTTTGGTATGCTGGTGTGTATGTATATGTATGTATGGTGTGTGTGTGTGTGTGTGTGTGTGTGTGTGTGTGTGTGTGTGTGTGTGTGTTTGTACACAAGTGAGTTAGTGACTGTATGTAACCCATTCCCACAGCACATGAATTAAACATGAGATATAAATTAACAGGTGGAACTCTGTACCTTGTCTCCTGCCTTCCCATCTGCTCCTTGAAGACCCTGATGATTAGAAAAGAGGAGAGGAGATATAGGGAGGAGAGAAGAGGAGAGGAAGAGAAGATGAGATTCTAAACATTCCTAGCTGTAAGTGAACATTATTTTCTCATGCAAACCAAACTCCTTGATGGCTATATGAACATTAGGGGTGCTGCATATCTCACCGGGAGGCCAGGGTCTCCTATCCCAGGGACACCAGGCTCTCCTTTGGGCCCCGTCTTCCCCTGGAGGGCCACAGTGTTGCCCATGTCTGCAGACAGGACGGGACACATCTCACACGGGTCACCCTGAGAGGGACAAAACCAAAGAGACACACAATGTCAACACACACCTCACAGGATTGGCACTGATAGACAGAGCGATGGACAACGTCAACACATACCTCACAGGGTTGGCCCTGATACACACAGAGATGGACAAACACATTCACAATCCATGCAGTATATCTCCTAACCCTAACCCTAACATACAAACCAGGACTGAGGGTTAACTCACCTTATCTCCTTTACCACCACCAGAACCCCTAGGACCCTGAAAACACAACAGCAATACATTTTAGTAGAGCATAATAGTGAGGATGAGATTTCAAATTACACACTGACTAGAATACAAAACTGTGGTCTGAACGCATCCTGTACTCACAGGATCTCCTGGTTCTCCATCTTTCCCTGGTGTCCCAGAATCCCCCTGGACAGAAGAGAGGAACAGGACACAGTAACCATAACAACTGTTGTAACATTCCAGAAATGTACAGAAGTCTTGTTGTGGGATGTTTTCTTATCAAACAATATAATCTGTATACAGTACTTCAATGTTCAAACTGCGGCTTTGGATTTTTCTGTTATTTTACCCCCTTTTTCGATCTCATCGCTGCAACTCCCCAATGGGCTCGGGAGGCGAAGTTCGAGTCATGTGTCCTCTGAAACATGACCCGCCAAACCGCGCTTCTTAACACCCACCCGCTTAACCCGGAAGCCAGCCGCACCAATGTGTCGGAGGAAACACTGTTCAACTGACGACCGAGGTCAGCCTGCAGGTGCCCAGCCCGCCACAAGGAGGCGCTAGAGCGCGATGAGACAAGTAAAGCCCCCCCGGCCAAACCCTCCCCGGACGACACTGGGCCAATTGTGCGCCGCCCTATGGGACTCCCGATCACGGCCGGTTGTGATACAGCCCGGGATCGAACCCGGGTCTGTTGTGATGCCTCTAGCACCGCTGTGTCACTCGAGAGGCCCCGGCCTTGGAAGTTTTGAAGCAGAGTTTTAATTGGATTTGAATTAATTTTCAGATATATTTTTTACCTTGTCTCCCTTCGATCCAGGAGGTCCTCCAGGAGTGCCCTAGCAACAAAACAAAACACACCTCTATTAAAAAAGAGTGCTGAGCAACTAGCCCTCTCTCTAACTGTCTCTCACTTCCTCTGTCTACCAGAGCCAAACAAGAACAGACGCAAACGGCGTCTCCTCGAAGATGCTACTTGGCTCTAGTTAAGGTTAACACACACAGCATCTCCTCGAAGATGCTTCTTGGCTTCAGTCAAGGGTAACAAAAGTCTATATTAAGCCTCTCTTTGCTTGCGAAACCCAGCCCCAACTTGCCCAGTGCATAAAGCATCTGACAACTGGAGGATGAAGAGTTATCATAACAGGACTCTGACTTCAAACCTGAGGATGGAAAAGATAGAACAGAATTCCAGAGCAGAGACACTACTCACTGGCAGGCCTGGCAGGCCTGGTTTTCCAATTCCTGGCAATCCTGGAAGTCCGGGTTTTCCCGGTTCTCCTGCTAGTCCCTCAGGCCCCACCTTTCCAGAGGTACCCTGGGAAAAAAAGCTCCTAGAGGTTAAAGTTCAAATAGATGCCAAAACAGAAAATGGCAGTTCGATTTTGAGGGCCACTAAAAGCATGTGTTTACATTAAATGCACATGGAAATGTACAGTGTACATACAATGGAAGTACACATTGTTAAATACTACTACATTTAAAAAGACTAGCTACTCTGTTTAAAGAGTACCTTCTGTCCCTTGGGTCCCACCACACAGATGGATCCAGCCCGACCCTGCAGAGAGAGACACAGACCATCACTTAGCTCTTCTTAAACAGTATGAAAACCTCTGCCTACAGGATATAGAAACCTGAGAGCACACACACATACACACTCACTCCCCCTCACTCACACTGAAATTCCTCTTTATCGTCACACTGTAAAACTTTCCATGCGTATCCATGTTAGGCTGAATGGGTGAGATGAAAGGGGTTAAGTCAGCCTGAATCAGCCAGATTGTGTGAGAGGAACACAGTCAATGAGGCAGAATTGATTCTGCTGGCTTTGTTGCTCCAGTCTAATCTAGCAGCCATTAGGAAGACAACACCCAGAGAGACGCCGGGCAGAGCAGAATAGATATCAGTACCAGTCTAGGCTTTAAAGAGTAATTCAGTATAATTCTACTAAACACCCTCTGTTAGCCTGATAGGTGTATGTGGGAGTGTGTGGGAGTGTTGTGGGTGTGTGTGTGTGTGTGTGTGTGTGTGTGTGTGTGTGTGTGTGTGTGTGTGTGTGTGTGTGTGTGTGTGTGTGTTCAAGTGTGAGTGCGTGGGCGTCTGTTCCTGGCATTTATAAGACAGACACATGCTGTTTATTCTAGTGAAATAGGAAGTGTTGTTTACGGTTTGCTAACTACTCAGCATCAACATAATAGGAAACCCATTGTGGAATGCAGAAACAGGCTACATATTTGAATGATTTTTCTGCCATTTTCTAAGCGATGAAGGTGATGATGATGATGATGATGATGGTGATGATAGCGATGATGTCATAGAGATAAGCAGCCACTCACATCCTTTCCTGGGGTTCCAGATAGTCCCTGGAGACCAATATCTCCCTTCTGTCCTTTATCTCCCTAAGAGAGAGAAGGGGGATGGAGAAATAAATAAATAAGAAACAGTCATCATCAGACACTGTGATACGGACAGACAGACACACAGGCCAGCCAGCCAGACAGGACAGCCAGCCAGTTGTTTACCAGACGTACCTTGTGTCCGACAGCGTCTCCCCAGTTCGCGGGCAGCACCTGCAGAGAGAGAGAGAATGAGGACCAGAATGAGACCAGGAAGATTGATGAGCAGCAGTAATATTGAGACCTCACCTCTACTCTGCAGAAGCAATGGAGCATACTAAATAACACATCGACCACACACACACACACACACACACACACACACACACACACACACACACACACACACACACACACACACACACACACACACACACACAAACACACACACACACACACACACACACACACACACACACACACAAACTAACAAACACAGGCCTAAAAACTCTGCAAATGAATACTCTGTCTTAATGTACTCAAATCTAAACTACACTGAACTGAAGACCCCCAACACAATAGCTGCACTCCAGGAAGAGATACTCACCGACTCGCCTTTCTCCCCCTTCTGTCCCATGCGTCCCTGTTTGCACTGAGAAACAGACAAATGAGACACACGCACACACACACGCACACACACACACACACACATACACACACACACACACGCACCACACACACACACACACACACACACAAATGATTTATACTCCAGTAATCTTCTAGTTCCTAGATGTTGAAAGGGGAGGTAAGTTCAAGTCTACAGGCCAATTAGTTAATTTTGTGATTCAGACTTCTGTTGTAGTGCATTAGCATTCTAAATACAGAGCTGCTACAGAGCTAATGGCAGAGTAGTGGGGGCACACACACTCAGACAGATAGACAGACAGACAGGAAGAGCAATGCTTGGGATGCTTGGGTGTGCAACTCATGCTAAAATTCTAAAATAAGCCAAATCATTATACTTAATAATATAGTGTTCAACCCAGAGTTCCAACCATGTATCTCAGGTTGGTGAACCCACAAGTTGTGATTGTTCCTGCATGGCTGCATATGCTAAATCAAAGAATGGGTCTGTTTCAGTGTAAGTGCAGTATTTTGAAGAGCTGGTTATTCGACCTATTTGCTTCTGTGATGAGTAACCTGAAGAGTTGTGTTGGCTCCCCGAGCTATAGTTTAGGCTTTAGCTCAGAGGGCTAATGCAGTCTTTTACATGGACAAGACACTTACTGTACCAGATCCAGATTCACTGCAGTCTGAACCCTAGGAGAGAGAGAGAGAGAGAGAGAGAGAGAGAGAGAGAGAGAGAGAGAGAGAGAGAGAGAGAGAGAGAGAGAGAGAGAGAGAGAGTGAGTGAGTGAAAGAAAGAAAGAAAGAGAGAGAAAGAAAGAAAGAAAGAAAGAAAGAAAGAAAGAAAGAAAGAAAGAAAGAAAGAAAGAAAGAAAGAAAGAAAGAAAGAAAGAAAGAAAGAAAGAGGGGGAGCAAGACAAAGTCTGGTGATAAGTTTGCTGAACTCAGTATGTATGGCACTAAATCACAAAATCAATGCAGATAGAAATTAATATTTTGAAAGTGAAGCTAAAATAATTAGAATTTTGCTAATGAGACAGTGATTTCAAAATTTATGAAACTCTCAGTGTGTGATGATAATGCTGATAAGATTCAGTGTGTGTATGTATATGTGTGTATTTGGGGGGTTGGGTGATCAGTGAGCATGTGTGTGTGTGTGTGTACGTGTATGTGTGTGCGTGTGTGTGTCTCAGCGTGTCTGGATGACACAGGTGATGATGTCACACATTCCACCACAATTAGTCTGAGTACACACTCCTACGGATACATCCTCACTGCTGCTCCACGTGTGTGTGTGTTCAGTATTTCCATATGGATGTGTGGGTACATGTTTGTGTGTGTATTTGCAGTATGTGTGTGTGTTCCTATCTCACCTGATCTCCCTTCTCTCCCTTCATTCCGTGCTGTCCAGTGTGTCCACCTGATGCCACCTGAAACAAACAAACAAACCAAACATGAACACAGCTATCATACTAGAAGTCCATTATTGCCTGGATATTACTCCACTTGAAATGGTCTCAGAATTAGCCAGAGGGAAACTACAGGGCACTTTTACATTTCTGCTTCTTTATACCTCAACAGCATTGGCTACATATTTATCCAATAAAACCATTTCATTGTTTTGGATTGAAATTCATTTCACAGGTATTTTACTTTTTATTTCAAATTACTTTTCTGGTTGCTTGAGGACAATCTACTGTTTCACATTGCAATAAGTATTATTTTCCATGTGAAGGACATTTTATTGCAGTTTTAGAAGGGGGTGTGATGGGGATATGTCTGTTCTTTTCGGTCCTCTGTTTCAAGTCTTTGTTCATGGGAATACCAGTGCGACATGAGTAGGGCCCTGTGTTTTGGTTAATCATGTCACATGACCTGGACTTTAACCTTTATTTGTAGCCTTTTCCAGAAATGAGAATTATGCCAAAAATCTAAGCAATTGACTGAGGATGGTGCTGGGCCATCTGACATAAAACACAAATGGGAAAGTTTGATGAAAAAGCTTTAAATAAAGGTTCAAATCCAGGTCATGTGACATGATTAACCAAGACACAGGACCCTAGACATGAGAGCTTCCATCTTTCGTTTACTTACGTTTAGGTCATCATTGAGAAGAACACAGCCAGCACACTAGAAAGACAGGGGGAATGGAGAAAGAGAGAAAGAGAGAGAGAGAGAGAGAGAGAGAGAGAGAGAGAGAGAGAGAGAGAGAGAGAGAGAGAGAGAGAGAGAGAGAGAGAGAGATCACATTAGTTCATGGTGAGATATCCTCTAATGCATCTAAGCAGAGAGAACTAGGCCAGCTCCTTAGATGATTGAGTGTTGCAACGAAAAATGGCCAAATTGATTTTGTAATGTACTGTGTCAATAAAGCCAAGGGACTTAAAAAACGTCTGAGTCAGGTTGTCTCTTTAGATGAAGTTGCTTTTGATAGCATGCCGTGTTGAGCACTGAGAAAGAATAGGCTAAAAGCAGCAGAGGCCAAATTCAATGCAAAAAGTCAAGCAAACGTAAAATGGAGAGTCAGCTCCCAACCTCAGGTAGTCACAGATCATATATAGATTTTCGATTGGATGTAGTATTGTTTATTAGGCCGAGGAGAGACATGCCATGTGGTGGAATCTAATCAGGAAGACAGTAGGCCGTATGAATCAATCAAAGGGTATAGGAAGTATGAACCAATCAGAGCACATAGTACCAATTTGGGACCGTTGTAGTCAAACCAAGTCAAGCACATCCACATCTAGTTTAATGGCTAGGGTGCAGTTTCTCTAATGACCAGAGAGTGGTACTGTTACACCATTTAAATATTATCTGAAGAGATGTAGACAGGTGTTTGGGGAGGGGGCCTCCAACATTTCACACACACTCTCACACACTCGCTCACATGTAGTTAGAAATAATTAAACATAGGCTATACATACACACACACGCACACACACCACACACACACCTCCCTCTCGGGAGACAGAGATCCATCGACAGGGCTGTAGTGGAACAGGTTGAGAGCTTCAAGTTCCAACCAACTATCATGGTCCAAACACACTAAGACAGTCGTGAAGAGGGCATGACAAAGCCTATTCCCCCTCAGGAGACTGAAAAGATTTGGCATGGGTCCTCAGATCCTCAAAAAGTTATACAGCTGCATCATCGAGAGCATCCTGACTGGTTGCATCACCGCATGGTATGGCAACTGATCGGCCTCCGACCGCAAGGCACTACAGAGGGTAGTGCGTACGGCCCAGTACATCACTGGGGCCAAGCTTCCTGCCATCCAGGACCTCTATACCAGGCGGTGTGAGAGGAAGGCCCTAAAAACTGTCAAAGACTCCAGCCACCCTAGTCATAGACTGTTCTCTCTGCTACCGCACGGCAAACGGTACCGGAGCGCCCAGTCTAGGTCCAAAAGGCTTCTTAACAGCTTCTACCCCCAAGCCATAAGACTCCTGAACAGCTAGCTAATCATGGCTACCCAGACTATTTGCATTGCCCCCCCACCCCACCCCACCCCCACCCCCTCTTTTATACTGCGGCTACTCTTTTTATTATCTATGCATAGTCACTTTAACTCTACCCACATGTACATATTGCCTCAATTACCTTGACTAACCGGTGCCCCCGCACATTGACTCTGTACCGGTACCCCCTGTATATAGCCTCCCTACTGTTATTTTACTGCTGCTCTTTAATTATTTGTAATTTTAATTTGTTTGATATCTATTTTTTTCTTAACACTTTTTTTTATTTTCTTAAAAATGCATTGTTGGTTAAGGGCTCATCAGTAAGCATTTCACTATAAGGTCTACACCTGTTGTATTCGGCGCATGTGGCAAATAACATTTGATTTGATTTGATTTGATCAATAGATACTGTAAAATCCCTACGGCACTGGAGAGTGCAGGCCAGCTGTAGCTCCTCACGGGCGGACACACACACACACACACACTGCAGTTTGGTGTGTATGTAATAGATAGCAAAAGTGACGTTTTTTCTAACGGAAGTAAGGTAATTAAAACAGCATCTACCACCCGGCGTGTCAGCCCAGCCGGCTCTCCTCACACCACACTAGGCAGTTAATATATATTGATTTTGTGTGACTGGGAGCTAAAGGAAAGAAGAAAGGAGGGAGAGAAGAGGAGAGAGAAGGTTCTTCTACAGTGTGTTGGAACTGCAACTCCATCAATGGTTGGCACCCGCGGTGCCTACTGCCTAGTCACTGTTTCCTAACCATCATATCTTTCTCTCTTTCTCTCTCTCTCTCTCTCTCTCTCTTTCTCTCTCTCTCCCTCTCTCCCTGGGCTATCGCTACGAACAGATATGTGTCACACCTTGATCCATCAGTGGGGAGGGGGTGTTTGTTCTGTGGGGAGGAGGAGACAGTGCAGCATCTGTTTTTTTCATGTTCCAGGCTGGTAGGGTTGTTTTCTGTCCTGGGTGGGTGGTGTACAGGCCTAGGGTAGGCGCTGAGTCTGGGCCTATACGTTGAACGGCCTAGGTATATCGTAGCCAACTGGCGAAGGGACTGCCTAGTACCTGTTGAGGCAGGCAATAACAGCAATGTGGAAGACCAGGAAACATGCTATGCAGGGGGCGGGGTGTACAGCCCCCAGAGCTGTGCTACTGGGGCTGGTGAGGGAGCATGTATATTGGGGGGCTAGTGAACCGTCTGGGGGATTTTGTAGGGGTGTGGGGCGTCGGGGGTCCTATGTACAGTGGAAGAGGAGGGATGCTTGGTTCTAACTTTCTAGGTCTGTTAAAATGAAGTAAGTTTGTGCTTTTAATGATGTAACTAGTGGGCCAATATTTTTTTTTTTTACTCAAATCTCTCTCTCTCTCCCTCTCTCTCTCTCTCTCTCTCTCTCTCTCTCTCTCTCTCTCTCTCTCTCTAAAAGCCAAGACAAGCCAAACCAAGTCTTTGATGCTAACGGTGGTAGTTATTTGATTATATGGATATATATTGGTTCTAGAGACATAGCTATCTGTAGGGACAAGTTTGGTTGTTCCCCATTTGTGTTTTGGGAAGACTTTGGTAAGGTCCCAAGTCAACCTATCCAGTGTGGTTTGCACTATGTAGATGAATCATCATGGTAACCCTCCTACCAAGCTAATAATAATGGTATGTATCTCTATTGCCTTGACACCATTATCAAACTACCTCAACCCATTAGCATGACATGCACACAAACACAAACACCCACGCACGCAGACTTGTATGAACTCAAGTACTTTCTTACTTTGCTTAAGGTAGTCCATCGTATCCCATGATGACTTCCACTACTTCTTGTGGGTTCGCTGAGGACTGTATAATCCAATGTGGGATGCACACTGTCTGCCACAGACAGAGCACACAAAGGCCTGTCACGTTGAGGCCAGCACAGGCATGGTCACATGTCTTCTCTGTCGCTTCGTCCAGTCCTATTTTCCTCGGTCCAACTGCACTCCTTGATGGCAGAGGCCACGCCAGGTGGAACGGTACACAGCAACAGTCTCGAGGGAGGCAGGGTTCTTTAGTGATGTCTTCAGTTGGTCCTTTAGCCACTTTTTCTGCGATCCTCTGGCAATCCGGATGGCATGGCAGAGCCATCTAAGCTTGTGGTGTGTGATGGATGCCTCAATGCTCCTGCAGTTGGTTCTCTGTAGTATCTCTGAGTGCGGAACACGGTCCTGCCAGGTCACTTTCAAAATGCGTTGAAGGCATTTTATGTGAAAGGACTCCAGTTGTTTTAAGTGTCGGCTGTAGACTGCCCATGTTTCACATCCATAAAGGAGTGTAGATACACACACTGCCTGGAAGACTGCAACTTTGTTGTGGAGGTGCAGGTTGCTGTTGTAAAATACCCTCTTCCTTAGCCGAGGATGAGGCCTGTTTGACTCGATTCTGGATATCCTTTTTCGATGTTGCAGTCTCCCGAGAGGATGCTTCCAAGATATTTAAAGTGTTGTACAATGGCCAGTGAGGAGTCTGAGATGGATAATTCAGGGGTTTCAGGCAGAGGATCAGATGAATATTGACATACTGTAGGACATCTGTTTTTGGGATGTTAACAGACAGCCCCATTCTGCTGTGTGCTCTCACAGCTGCCGCTGTGGTCAAGTACGCATTCAGATTTGAGCTTTGTGGCAGCTTGGAGCCTCCTAAAGTTGAAGAAGTTCCCGTCCAAACTGAAGTCCAGGGTCACACCACTCTCTGTTTCCATGTCCTTGTGCAGGAGTGTTGTGACACACAGGAGAAAGACATTGAATAGGACCAGCACAAGCACACACCCTTGCCTCACACTAGTACCAACTCCAAAGGGTTCAGACTCCTGACTGCCAATTGTTACTCAGGCCATCATCCCTTCATGGAAACTCATGCAAGATGTTCACAAATTTCCCAGGGCAGCCATACAGTAGTAGGACCTTCCAAATGAGTTCACGGTGTACTGTGTCAAAGGCTTTGGAGAGGTCCACAAACGCCATGAACAGGTCTTGTTTCTGTACACAGCACTTTTCCTGCAGTTGGTGTGCACTGAAGATCATGTCCACCGTGCTTCTGTTCTTTCTGAAGCTGCACTGGGACTCCGGTAGCATGTCTTCAGTGATGGTGTCGATGAGTCTGCAGAGCATGAACTTCGCCAGGACTTTTGCCAGCAACTGCAAGGAGGGATATGCCTCTGCAGTTGCCACAGATGGATTTGTCCCCCTTATTTTTGAATATGGTAACAATGTTTGCATCCCTCCATTGATGGGAGCTGCTCTCTTGTCTCCATATCTCAGAGATGAACAGGCAAACTGCTCTGGTACAGAGATAGCCCCCCTGTTTTAGGATCTCAGCAGGGATGAAGTTAGGTCCAGGAGTTTTGTTATTCTTCAGTGACCTGATGGCGGTGCAGACCTCAGAAAAGGTGGGTGGGAGATCAAGGCTCTGGATGGTGGGCAGGGTTGGGAGCTCCTCCAGGTCTGAGTAGTCAACTGGGTTTGGCTGGTTTAAGAGGGCTTCAAAGTGTTCACCTCACCTCTGGACTATCTTAGTTTGGTCCTGCACTTCTGAGGGGACAGAGAAAGCAACTTCTTAGGCCATGGGTGGTCTTCAGGGTATCATACAAGTTGTGCATGTCCGCACAAGATTGGATTTATTGTGCTTTGGAGCTCCACCACTCATGTTGTAGATGTCGTAGAGCACTCTGTGCCACCCTCTGCTGCTCTTGCCATTGCTTTTTGAGGGCCTCAGAAGTAGGGTTGGTGAGTGTGGATTTATGTACCTTGTGTATGCTGTTAAGTAGGGTGGAGATGTACGTGGAGTTTTCGTCGAACCAGTCCTGATGTTTCCACACACACCTAGCACACATCCTACCTACTTTCCCCGACCCACACACGCACACACACGTGCGCACGCACGCAAGCACACACACACACTACTAACAGCGTGGGTTCATATCTGTGAAACTCTTCCAATAGAGAGAGATCATTCTGTCTCATTATATTCAGTGGTTGCATATCCTACATTACACTGTGCCATGGGAGATTAGTAAGATAATAGTAAGCACACCATGGAATGCAATAATGAAGTGTCTGGAGTTTTGTATGCAATTCATGAACAGAATTCTGCTATTGTTGGAGAATGACAAAATTAATAGGAAGCAGTACAGCAAATCCCCACAGAGCCGGGGTATACAGTATAATGAATGATGTGTATATCACTCCACTGTCAGTAGCAGAGCTGTGTCTGTGTGTATGTGTGTGTGTGTGTGTGTGTGTGTCACACCGTCTCATCTCCCGATGTTGCGCTCCTTCTCTCCCCGTTCTTGGAGTACAGCAAATGGTACAAGTAACTGACCTGGTATTTGGGTCACCAGCCCCTGTCCTAATCTGTATAAAAAAATACTCTGCTCTGATTGGCTCATGTTGCCTACATATTTTCTTCCTGATTGGACGCCAACTGACACGTGGCGAAAGTCTCTCCTCAGCTTTTTCAGTAATACAGGATAAAGTGTGTGTGTGTGTGTGTGAGAGAGAGAGTGGGAAAGTTTGAGACTTACTTTCTCTGCCAGGCCCTTGGACCCAAGGATCTCCTAGAGAAAAGAGAAAGAGAAAGTGAGGCAGAGAAGTTTCAGTGTTCTAATTTTAACACCAAAATGTACAATGCGAGGATGTTTTCAGGACTTAGAAGCAATAAGAGGACAGTTACAACTTTGTTGGACCTACTTCCAGTTGGTTATTATTATTATATATTTTTTTTACAGCTCTTCGGTGTTTGCAAAGTTACCTTTTTGAAGAAGTAAAGGTAGTGATGTGATGCTCTTAAGACACCAACAGCTAAACATAATTCTATGGCATATTTTGCATGTATTGTACATGTGCACCACTGAAGCTAGCCACTACCGTTACATATCATTGCATGAGCAGCACAACAGAGAGCGGATGAAGAAAGATATCTAAATGAACACACTGGTCATTAGCCAGATGCTCTTATCCAGAGTGCATTTTAAAGGGAAAAAGAAAGGATGGAGGGAGGGAGGAGGAGGAGAAAAGAAAGGGGTAAGGAGGAGTGTTGGAATAGATCCCTAATAAACCCTGAGGCAGAGATAGAGAGAGATGGGGTAAGGGAGAAGGCGAGAGAGAGAGAGAGATGGGGTAAGGGAGAAGGTGAGAGAGAGAGAGAGAGAGAGAGAGAGAGAGAGAGAGAGAGAGAGAGAGGGGTGGGGGGTAGAAGTAGAAGTGAAAAAGAGAGGGAAAGAGAACAGACAGACAGAGAAAGTAGTGAACAACAAAGTGAAAGCAGTGAGAGTTAGAGTGGAAAAACTGCATGAAGCAAAAGTCCATGAGAGAGGTAGAGATCGTTTTCAAGGGGAAGGGGAAAGATGTTGTGGTTAGGGACATCAACCTGGAAAATCATGTGGAGGGAGAGGGATCAACGCGAGAGTGTTTGGGGGTCTGGGTTGACCTTTCAGAAAGGTTGGACAGGAGAAAAAAAGACAGAAAGAAAAGAAACAACAAGAAAGAACGAGAACGATTGACTGAGACTTCCAGTCTTAAGGGACCAACACACACACACACACACACACGTACAGTATTATTAAGTTCATGACCCTGGTGTGCAGTGCAGATGTTTCAAAGCCAATGCCCTGAATTCAATAAGAAAAGCCTAGATGACTTATACCACTCTGACACACCAGGAATGTAATGTGTGTGAGTGAGGGAGTGTGTGTGTGAGTGCGAGAAAGAGAGAGAGTGTGTGGGTATGTGTGTTTGTGTAGGAGTGTGTGTGTGTGCTGCACTGTGCACACGTGTGTCAGTGCATAATGCTTGTTGTGTAAATGAAGTTGCAGTCGTGGCATGAAGACATCTGTTGTCAAACGGAAAGAGAAAGGAAGGGGTGGGGTTAACACTATAATTAATAATGCCATGGTAACAATATGGCTTACATAGAGACTTCCTTATATTGTCCAAATAAGAACATCCTTTATTGTCCGCTGTTATTTCATTGGTTAGTGCTATCACTGCCAGACACATACCTGGATCTCATTACGAACTCAGACAGCAGTTTAAGAGTCAGTGACACCACAACTATGAGCTCACACATGCACACACTCACCACATAAGCAGGCACACACACACGGCTCTGTTCCTGTTATTGTGTCTGGCTGAGGAACAGTATTCTATGGGATTGATTACTCCTGTCTGTAGTCTGCCAGAGCTTTGAGTTAACAACAGCTCTCCACAAGACAAACAGCAAGCCTAATGAATGGATAATTGGAAATAGATTGCATTATTATGAATCATGAAATGAGAAAGGGTGAATATGGCTTTAAAATATAATTTGAAAGAATATTATTTATTTGGCAATCTAGCACTGTTGCACATTTTTTAAATAAGAACATTTCTCAGTAGTGGTGGAGGAGGGGAGATATTTATCATGCTACTGTTGTCTCTTTGGCTGAGAGTGGATTAATAATTATCAGGGGAGGAACAATGATTATAAGGGGGAAAAACAATGGAATATTTTGCTCGCTCCCTTTGCCTACCTGGTCGTGCTTAGCCAGTGGTCTTGTTAGTTTGTCTGTTCATATATTTGAGTGTGTGTGTGTGTGTGTGTGCATGCATGTGTGTTACCTGATTAAAGGCAAGAACCTGCTGCTCCAGGTCATTTTCGGCAGCGCGGCGACTCTTGAGGGCACCAGGGGGGCACTAAGAGAGAGAGAGAGAGAGAGAGGGATCATGGGTCAAAATAGCTCTCAAAAACTCTAGACAGCATTCTGCCTTTTCCCTACAGTTTTCAGCTATTAGCTTTGACCACGACTGGCTAATGTGAACTACAATCCCGACGCTGTGTTTTAAAGTTTAGAAACTTCAATAATCACCGGTTGCGATATGGCTTTCGGAACATATGGCCCTTATCTTTCATCAGTAAAAAAGAACCCTTCAAATAAAAAAGATACACTTACTGTAGCAGTTACAGATCCATACAGCTATGGGTTCCTCCATCCAACGAAACTCCACTTCCACTACACTTCCCGAGTTACACACAGGTGTTCAGAGCACGCTAGATGGCCGTGTGGGAACACTAACCCTAACCCTATCAAGGTGTGTATCAATTTAACCTTTTTAAATGTTTTATTATTATTTCTTGCTGATATGGAAGATAAGGTCCATATGCTTAAAAAAACGTATTGCAAGCGACGCGTGTTAATGTTCAGATTGAGCGTCGGGGCTCTTAACAAAACTCCCCTGCACAGAAGACGCCTTCGTTTAATGACTCTTATGTGTAATGGAAGATCAAGGGCTCGGGTCAAAGGTGGCAATGTGTATCGGGGAATGTGTATTGTGAACACAGCTGCACTGAAAAGCTAAACTGAAGACAAAGTAGTCCAACAGGTCAATATGTTGAGGGGTCTTCCATGGTAACACACAGTAAGTCTAGCCCTCTCTAACACTACAAGTCTAGCCATAAAACCAGCCTGGTCTCATAGACTAGATTTAACATAGTAAATGTAAATCTGGGACACTCAAATTAGTATGATATGTTACATTTGATATGGTTACATAAAACAGAAAGTTACTTAACCCAAAAAATAAAGTAGGGTGATTGGTCAGGTTGGATGGGTGGGCATATAACACGAACGTTTAGCATCCCAAAGATTGTGTGTTTGAATCTCATCGCAGACCACTTTAGCATTTTTGCTAATTAGCAACTTTGCAACTACTTAGCATGTTAGCTAACCCTTCCACTAACCCTTTAACCTAACTCCTAACCCTAACCTTAACCTTCAACCTAACCTTAACCCTAACCCCTAACCCTAACCCCTAGCCTAGCTAATGTTAGCCACCTAAGTAATGTTAGCCTTAGCCACCTTGCCACCTATCTAACAAATTGGAATTTGTAACATATGTCATGACTCGGTCATAAATAGTTTGTAGAAAAGGACTCCTTTTGGTCTCTAGTATGGGAAGACTGAGATTGTCTTTGTTCCAGAGACTCTTTGCCGCATAAAAACTCTTACTGGAATCTTATTCCTGACCTCCAAATGTTTGGAATGGTCAGTGGGGACCTAAAGAATAATCACGTCATATTGTTTATTGTTATTGTTGTTTGTGATGTCATTAAGGATGGTATAACGGAATAACTGTAACTCTGAAAGTGTACACGTTCTATTTATCAAGCTTACATCTAAATGTTGTATAAAATATATGATTAAGTATGAGAGTACTTTTGTGAAGATAGCAATGTGATTTTATTCTTCTAATGAGATAATTGTTCTATATAAACTTTTGCCCAGTAAGTAACCACGCCCAAGTGAGCACAGACATTGGATCGGCGTGTTGGAACGCCCCCTTTTTACCCGAGGATAAAAGTAGTAACGAAATGTACATTTAGACCAGAAAGTGTGAGAGTGGCGACTGCATGTTTAGAATGGTTAGAACTTTGAATCAGAGACCAGAAAGCGTGGAGCTGTGGCTACACGGCTTAAAATGGTTAGACCAGAAAGACCAGCCGCCGTGAAGCGCGTGCTCACATTACAACTGGTTGAACCTCTACAGACCAGCCGACATGCAGCGGGAGCTGAACGTTACAAATGGTTGACACTCTAAGACCAGGAAAAGTGAGACGTTAGTCCACACGTTTGAAATGGTGAGAAACTCTGAAACTCTCAATCTCTACACAAGAAGAAGAAACTCACTAGACCATAGCATTACCAGTCTGCAGCTGGCATGTAAAGTTGTCTTTCACTAAAGACACGAGTTAGGAAGGACAATCCCATCTCAGACAACCATTGGTACATTCTAATGAACACTCCATTCGAAGACAAGCTGAGTCTCACCGAAGTGGGATAGGACACTCAAACCCTTTTTGAGAAAGTGGTTCAACAGAGAGACGACGATCAAGGAAAGCTACACGTAAATATGCATTGCATTTTTTATCAGAATGAGCGGTGGTTTCCAAATGTAACAACGATAAGTTGAATCTCTTTGTCTCTCCCTTTCACTCTCTTTCTATTGACCCCTCCTTCCCCTAACCAAGCAGTCATGCTATTGTTAGTCCAGTCCATTAGGGACCTGTTTTCATTGTATTACGTTAGCAATCAATAACCTATACCGTGTGTGTGTGTTTATGTATTCTGTGTTATTATTTAGTTAGTGAGTAAATAAATAATTAAGCCAATTTGTGTATTGGTGATTCATCAATATGGTTAGGGTTCTTGCAGATATCAAGGAGTATGCGACGTTCAGAATGAGACTGATGAGGTAATGATAAGTGACTGTTATCGATATATATATCTAAATATCTTCTAAGAGTTTAATTTGGGAGATGGTAACTCGTTAAACAACTTCTTCCATGGTGCTCCAAATTCCTAATAAGTTAATTGTTACATGATTAATTTAAAAGAGTGACAATTAAACATAGTTTTTATTTAATTTATTTTTTTGGGGGGTAGATCAGCTTTAATATTGCAGATAGATTGTAACTTCCATCAATGTAATTGTCTGCATCACTTCCAATCCCCCATATGTTTTTCTTCTCGCAAATATATAGTGGCTTGTGAAAGTATTCACCCCCCTTGGCATTTTTCCTATTTTGTTGCCTTACAACCTGGAATTAAAATGGATTTTTGGGGGGTTTGTATCATTTGATTTACACAACATGACTACCACTTTGAAAATGCAATTTGTTTTGTTGTTGTGTGAAACAAACAAGAAATAAGACAAAAACAGAAAACTAGAGCGTGCATAACTATTCAACCCCCCAAAGTCAATACTTTGTAGAGCCACCTTTTGCAGCAATTACAGCTGCAAGTCTCTTGGGGTATGTCTCTATAAGCTTGGCACATCTAGCCACTGTAATTGTTGCCCATTCTTCAAAGCAAAACTGCTCCAGCTCCTTCAAGTTGGATGGGTTCCGCTGGTGTACAGAAACCACTCCACAAATTTCTTGTTAACAAACTATAGTTTTGGCAAGTCGGTTAGGACATCTACTTTGTGCATGACACAAGTAATTTTCCAATAATTGTTTACAGACAGATTATTTCACTTATAATTAACTGTTTCACAATTCCAGTGGGTCAGAAGTTGTCACGACTTCCGCCGAAGTTGGTGCCTCTCCTTGTTCGGGCGACGTTCGGCGGTCGTCGTCACCGGCTTTCTAGCTGCCACCGATCTACGTTTCTTTTTCCATTTGTTTTGTCTTGATTGTACACACCTGGTTCCCATTACATTATATTATTTCCCTATTTAACCCTCTGGTTCCCACATGGTTTTGTGCGTGTTTGTTCTTTGTTTTGTGTCTAAGACTTATGTGAGCTGGTGTGTTTTCCCTGCGTGGAAATTAGTGTTGTTTATTTTTCGAGTAAAGTACGTTGTTTACTCAGTTCTGTGTCCTGCGCCTGACTCCGTCCTACCGCTGCACATTGACACTTGACAAAAGTTTACATACACTAAGTTGACTGTGCCTTTAAACAGCCTGGAAAATTCCAGAAAATGATGTCATGGCTTTAGAAGCTTCTGATAGGCTAATTGACATCATTTGTGTCAATTGGAGGTGTACCTGTGGATGTATTTCAAGGCCTACCTTCAAGCTAAGTGCCTCTTTGCTTGACATCATGGGAAAATCAAAAGAAATCAGCCAAGACCTGTAGACCTCCACAAGTCTGGTTTATCCTTGGGAGCAATTTCCAAATGCCTGAAGGTACCACATTCATCTGTACAAACAACAGTACGCAAGTATAAACACCATGGGACCACGCAGCCGTCATACCGCTCAGGAAGGAGACGCGTTCTGTCTCCTAGAGATGAATGTACTTTGGTGCGAAAAGGGCAAATCAATCCCAGAACAACAGCAAAGGACCTTGTGAAGATGCTGGAGGAATCAGGTATAAAAGTATTTATATCCACAGTAAAACGAGTCCTATATTGACATAACCTGAAAGGCTGCTCAGCAAGGAAGAAGCCACTGCTCCAAAACCGCCATAAAAAAGCCAGACTACGGTTTGCAACTGCACATGGGGACAAAGATCAAACTTTTTGGAGAAATGTCCTCTGGTCTGATGAAACAAAAATAGAACTGTTTGGCCATTATGACCATCGTTATGTTTGGAGGAAAAAGGGGGATGCTTACAAGCCGAAGAACACCATCCCAACGTGAAGCACGGTTGTGGCAGCATCATGCTGTGGGGGTGCTTTGCTGCAGGAGGGACTGGTGCACTTCACAAAATAGATGGCATCATGAGGAAGGAAAATTGTGTGGATATATTGAAGCAACATCTCAAGACATCAGTCAGGAAGTTAAAGCTTGGTCGCAAATGGGTCTTCCAAATGGACAATGACCCGAAGCATACTTCCAAAGTTGTGGCAAAATGGCTTAAGGCCAACAAAGTCAAGGTATTGGAGTGGCCATCACAAAGCCCTGACCTCAATCCTATAGAAAATGTGTGGGCAGAACTGAAAAGGCGTGTGCGAGCAAGGAGGCCTACAAACCTGACTCAATTACACCAGCTCTGTCAGGAGGAAAATTCACCCAACTTATTGTGGGAAGCTTGTGGAAGGCTTCCCGAAACGTTTGACCCAAGTTAAACAATTTAAAGGCAATGCTACCAAATATTAATTGAGTGTATGTAAACTTCTGACCCACTGGGAATGTGATGAAAGAAATACAAGCTGAAATAAATCATTCTCTCTACTATTATTCTGACATTTCACATTCTTAAAATAAAGTGGTGATCCTAACTGACCTAAAACAGGGATTTTTTACTAGGATTAAATGTCAGGAATTGTGAAAAACTGAGTTGAAATGTATTTGGCTAAGGTGTATGTAAACTTCCGACTTCAACTGTACATCCACATACATATACATATACATAAATATAAATACATATACATACATACACATATACTTTTTATATATTTCCCTTTATTACTTTCCAACCCCACCACCCCTTCCCTAATTGGGGTAAACTAGTGAACAACAATGCTTAGGCCACTACTTCCAGCTTATACATACTATGTACATTTTATGGACACTTAATTTTACAATTAAACATAGTTAGTTGATTTGATAAATAACAGTCATCACATTATTGAAAGTCACGTCACGACACATATCATACATTTTGAAAATTTGTAACATATTGTACGAATTGCAATTCGTAACATATCATACAGTGCCTTGGAAAAGTATTCATCCCTCTTGCCGTTTTTCCTATTTTGTTGCATTACAACCTGTAATTTAATTAGATTTTTATTTGGATTTCATGTAATGGACATTCACAAAATAGTTTCAAAAAATTCTAAAAAATAAATAACGTAAAAGTGGTGCGTGCATATGTATTCACCCCCTTTGCTATGAAGCCCCTAAATAAGATCTGGTGCAACCAATTACCTTCAGAAGTCACATAATTAGTTAAATAAAGTCCACCTGTGTGCAATCTAAGTGCCACATGATCTCAGTATATACACACCTGTTGTGAAAGGCCCCAGAGTCTGCAACACCACTAAGCAAGGGGCACCACCAAGCAAGTGGCACCATGAAGACCAAGGAGCTCTCCAAACAGGTCAAGGACAAAGTTGTGGAAAAGTACAGATCAGGGTTGGGTTATAAAAAAATACCAGAAACTTTGAACATCTCACGGAGCAACATTAAATCCATTATTAAAAAATGGAAAGAATATGGCACCACAACAAACCTGCCAAGAAAGGGCCGCCCACCAAAACTCACGGACCAGGCAAGGAGGGCATTAACCAGAGAGGCAACAAAGAGACCAAAGATAACCCTGAAGGAGCTGCAAAGCACCACAGTGGAGATGGGAGTATCTGTCCATAGGACCACTTTATGCCGTACACTCCACAGAGTTGGGCTTTACGGAAGAGTGGCCAGAAAAAAGCCATTGCTTAAAGAAAAAAATAAGCAAACACGTTTGGTGTTCGCCAAAAGCCATGTGGGAGACTCCCCAAACATATGGAAGAAGGTACTCTGGTCAGATGAGCTTTTTGGCCATCAAGGAAAACGCTATGTCTGGCGCAAACCCAACACCTCTCATCACCTTGAGAACACCATCCCCACAGTGAAGCATGGTGGTGGCAACATCATGCTGTGGGGATGACTGGGAAACTGGTCAGTATTTAAGGAATGATGGATGGCACTATATACAGGGAAATTCTTGAGGGAAACCTGTTTCAGTCTTCCAGAAATTTGAGACTGGGACGGAGGTTCACCTTCCAGCAGGACAATGACCCTAAGCATACTGCTAAAGCAACAATCGAGTGGTTTAAGGAGAAACATTTAAATGTCTTGGAATGGCCTAGTCAAAGCCCAGACCTCAATCCAATTGAGAATCTGTGGTATGACTTAAAGATTTCAAAGTGGTAGGCGTGTTGTGTAAATCAAATGATACAAACCCCCCAAAAATCTATTTTAATTCCAGGTTGTAAGGCAACAAAATAGGAAAAATGCCAAGGGGGGTGAATACTTTCGCAAGCCACTGTACGAAGTGGATGATGGACATACACCAATTAATACATACCATACGAAATGCAACATATCATACTAATTGGAGTATTCCAGATTTAGAAAACTAAAGGTTGATAAAACTGTCATCTCCCACTTCTCTCTGTGACATCGCTCTCCTATCTTTATCAAACAGCTGATGTCTCTTCTCAGAACTATAGGTGGGATGTGTGTACTGCAGCTCCTGGTTCCGTTCTAAACAGTGTTTCTGGTGAGCCCTGCAGCAGACAGCTCAGAGTGCAAGAGAAGAGGGAGGAGAGTTGGATGTCTCTTCCTCTCCTCCTCTTCAAAGTAAATCACTTTTTTCTAGAGGGTTCTGAAAGTCTACTGGGCTGTTCTACAGTTCTTCAGTTCTGAAGGTGTTCTGAATAACGGATCTCTCCCTGTTTGTCTGTCTTTCATACCTAGGCCTATATGCACGTACAGACAGACACACACAAACACACACAAACACACACACACACACACACACACACACACACACACACACACACACACACACACACAGGCACACACACTCTCACACTAACAAACAAACAAACACAAGCATGAAGGACACTTCCACATACTGTATGTACAAAAGGTCTGTACAGACAAAAACAGACATCAGGGTGGAAATGCCTTCAGGTTCAAAATAAACTCAGAACTGGCTGTGCTCGCCACCCATACCTGAGCTCTTTCTTTCTCTCTTTCTCTGTCAACATGGTTGATTCTGCACAATCTGCTTGATACCAACCATGTGGGAACACTTTCTCCAGGCAAAAATACACAAAGGCAGCAGGCCTACATATGATGATGGGTGTTGGAGTGATGTGTGATGGTTGTAAAAGCGTTGTGTGATGGTCGGTGTGATGGTTGCAGAAGCGTTGTGTGATGGTTGTAAAAGCGTTGTGTGATGGTTGGTGTGGTGGTTGTGGGAGTGATGTGTGATGGTTGTAAAAGCGCTGTGTGATTGTCGGTGTGATGGTTGCAGAAGTGTTGTGTGATGGTTGTAAAAGCGTTGTGTGATGGTTGGTGTGGTGGTTGTGGGAGCGATGTGTAATGTCTGGTGTTCTCACCCGAGCTCCAGGTATCTCACAGCAGGTTCAGAGATGGGCAGGGAGAAACAGTAAGGATGCGTGAGTGGTGGATTGTGGGAGCGAGAGAGATGGCTAGACAGAGGCCAGAAGAAGCAGAGAGGGCAGAAGGAAGAGAGAGAGCATGCGACAGAAAGAAAGAGAGACGAGAGGACTGGAGACAGAAGAGAGAGAGAAGGAGAGAGAGGAGAGGGAGAAGGAAGGAGGAGAGAGAAGAGAGAGAGAGAGAAGAAAGAGAGAGAGAGAGAAAAGAGAGAGAGAGAGAGAAGAGAGAGAGAGAGAGAGAGAGAGAGACAGAGAGAAAGAGAGAAAAACTATTGTTAGAGAACAAGTATACCCACTACAACCCCACTACTACAGCCCCAACCATCACCCCTAAATATCCCTGTCCCCTCCTCCCAGACTCTCCACCTCTCCCTCCATCTCTCCCCTCCTCCACCTCTCCACCTCTCCTCCTCTCCCTCCTCCCAGCTCTCCACCTCTCCCTCCATCTCTCCCCTCCTCCCAGCATCTCCACCTCTCCCTCCATCTCTCCCCTCCTCCCAGACCTCTCCACCTCTCCCTCCATCTCTCCCCTCCTCCCAGCCTCCCCTCCTCCATTCCCTCCTCCAGCCTCTCACCTCTCCTCCATCTCTCCCTCTTCCCACCCTCTCCACCTCTCCCTCCATCTCTCCCCTCCTCCCAGCCTCTCCACCTCTCCCTCCATCTCTCCCCTCCTCCCAGCCTCTCCACCTCTCCTTCCATCTCTCCCCTCCTCCCATACTCTCCACCTCCCCCTCCATCTCCCTACTCCCCACATACAGGTTGACCCAACCCCATCTCCCTACTCCCAACTTCCTACCACAATCAACCCCCCCTCCTCTCCCTCCCTGGTCCTCCAATCAATACCTCCACAGGGGCAGCATCGGTGGCTCTGATGCCTAGCATGGTGTGTCCCTCGGTGGGTAGCTCTCCCCGGGGCTCCAGGGGCATGGTCTGGATGGAGCTGCAGTCCACGTGTAGAGAGGCTGCTCCCTGTTGGACACTGAGGGCCAGTTTGTGCCAGCCACTGTCCAGGAGAGACTCCACGCCCTCCCCGCTGAACACACACCCAACCGGGTCACCCAGGGGATCGGCCCCCCGCGCACGCAGGGACAGGGTGGCCTCAGGGCCATTCAGGTCAAGAGAGAACTTGGGGGGAGGGATGACAGAGTGGGGAGAGGGGAGGAAGGAAGGAGGAGAGAGTGGGAGAGTGGGGGAGAGGAGGGGGGATGGGAGGGGAGGAGAGGTGAGGTGAGACACAGGGAAAAAAACAGTTGTATCACATCTGATTGGGAAATAACACCTCTACAGAGGAGTCTACAGATCTGATGGAATCGGATATTGTATTGTAGGTGTAAGCAATGCTAAAGCCAATGCCTCATTGAATATGCCTATCCAGTCTCAAGCAGTAGCCGCTAGGAGAAGGAGCTACAAGTTTGGTACAGTGCTTTGTGTCTCAAAGTGGGCTACATAGAACACACTGCAAAGTTAGCAAAGACATGGACAAAGGTAATATACTAATTATTGCATCTGAAAACACCCAATCAATCATTTATAATGAGATGGTTTGCCCACAATTCATCATATACATGGAGTATTTAAATGTGGCTTCAGACTTATTATAGAAGTGACAGACACTCCAATATTTCATCATAGAAGTAACATGAATTATAATGAGAGAACAACAGAGAGAGAGAGAGGGGAGAAGCTGAAGGGATGATAGAGAGTGGCGAGATGGAGGAGAGGAGAGGAAAGAGAGAGAGAGAGATGGAACAGATAGAGGAGTTAACAGAAGAGAGAAAGAGAGAGAGAGAGAGAGAGAGAGAGAGAGGAGAATATATCTAGAGAACATAGATATGTGGATCAAGAATAGAGGCGACCGCATCAGCTAGCGGAGAGAGAGCGCGATCGCGACGGAGGCGCGCGTCGGTGAGAGCGCTTCGTGCTGCGGCTGAGCGCTCGATGGCTTGAGTGGGGCGAGACCGCGGGCGGCGCGTGTGATGCTGGCCAAGCCCCGTGCCTAAGGACAGAGATGAGAGAGGGAGGGGAAAAGAGGAGTGTATACCTGTGGGTATCCCTGTTCATCAGAGATCTGGAAGAGGTAGATGTTGTTTCTCAGTGTTTTCTTCTTGAGGAGCAAAGTGAAGACCAGCGTGAACTCATCAGGAAGACCATGGGGGAACACCTGACTGAGAAAACACACTGTTAGACACACACACACACGCATACAGTCTTGTCCAGCTAACCTTGTGGGGACACACAATTCAGTCCCATTAAAAATCCTATTTTCCCTAACCCCTAACCCTAAACCTAACCCGTACTCTTACCCTAACCCTAACCCTAACCCAAAAACCTAATCTTAACCCTAACCCTAAACCTAACTCTAGCTCCTAACCCTAACCCTTAATGTAATTCTAACCCTAACACTAATTCTAACCTTAACACTAAACCCCCAGAAATAGCATTTGACCTTGTGGGGAGTAACAAAATGTCCCCAGTTTTTGTTAGTTTACTATTCTTGTGGGGACTACTGTATGTCATCTGGCTATGCGCCATGCCATAGGCTGTATTCTTGTTCATTTAGCAGACATGATATGCTTATAAGTCCCCGTGCCATTATTTTATATTATATGATTTTATAGTAAGAAGAATATAATCGAACTTAGCTGAATAAAATAGAAACAATATTTTTTCCCATTCCGTAGCGAGGGTGCCATATGAAGTGACTATGTTGAGCGTAAAAGTGATCATTTGAAACAAGTCCTATATTCTAGATTTAGAGTTATTTGGCAACTTTAGTTGTCAATGATACAAACCATAGAATGCCTTAGAAATTAAAAGATATATGGGCTGCATAATGTGACTATAGGCTATTGATGATTTGAGAAAGTCACAAAAAAAGCTTACGCTCCGCTTCTTGCCTCAGGCTGCACACGCTGTTCTCTAATCAAGTGATCATATTTTCACCCAACAGACTATTCTCAATTTAATCTTGTCTTTACTAATATGTAAAATTAGTTTTGATTTAGAATGGACATTATCAAATGGGCAGGAGCAGGGGCAAGAGAAAAAAAACATGTCATCAGTAGCGAATTGAGGCCACTTTCCCGCCGGTTCGTTTCACTCATGTTGTTGTAGGGTAGGCTACTCCGGTTATTTCGCTGCTCAACAGGTGATATTCCACCCAAACTCTGTATGCCATGGGCTCTCCAACCTTGTTCCTGCAGCTACCCAGCGCTTATTTTGGGAAACCAAGTGAAATCTGTTCGGGAACATTGATAGTAACATGTTTTATCAAGGCTATTTCATTAAACTGTTGACAGTCCCTCTCTCTGCGTGATGGAAAAAGGAATAAAGGAGAGAGGAGGAGATGAAAATGCATGGTGGTGAGATATTCTGTATAGAGTGGCTTGCGAAAGTATTCACCCCCCTTGGCATTTTTCCTATTTTGTTGCCTTACAACCTGGAATTAAAATGGATTTTTTGGGGGTTTGTATCATTTCATTTACACAACATGCCTACCACTTTGAAGATGTAAAATATTTGTTATTGTGAAACAAACAAGAAATAAGACAAAAAAACTGAAAACTTGAGCGTGCATAACTATTCACCCCCCCCAAAGTCAATACTTTGTAGAGCCACCTTTTGCAGCAATTACAGCTGCAAGTCTCTTGTGGTATGTCTCTATAAGCTTGGCACATCTAGCCACTGGAATTTTTTGCCCATTCTTCAAGGCGAAACTGCTCCAACTCCTTCAAGTTGGATGGGTTCCACTGGTGTACAGCAATCTTTAAGTCATACCACAGATTCTCAATTGGATTGAGGTCTGGGCTTTGACTAGGCCATTCCAAGACATTTAAATGTTTCCCCTTAAACCACTCGAATGTTGCTTTAGCAGTATGCTTAGGGTCATTGTCTTGCTGGAAGGTGAACCTCCGTCCCAGTCTCAAATCTCTGGAAGACTGAAACAGGTTTCCCTCAAGAATTTCCCTGTATTTGGCGCCATCCACCATTCCTTCAATTCTGACCAGTTTCCCAGTCCCTGCCGATGAAAAATATCCCCACAGCATGATGTTGCCACCACCATGCTTCACTGTGGGGATGGTGTTCTCGGGTGGTGAGAGGTGTTGGGTTTGCGCCAGACATAGCTTTTTCCTTGATGGCCAAAAAGCTCAATTTTAGTCTCATCTGACCAGAGTACCTTCTTCCATATGTTTGGGGAGTCTCCCACATGGCTTTTGGCGAACACCAAACATGTTTGCTTATTTTATTCTTTAAGCAAAGACTTTTTCTGGCCACTCTTCCGTAAAGCCCAGCTCTGTGGAGTGTACGGCATAAAGTGGTCCTATGGACAGATACTCCAATCTCCGCTGTGGTGCTTTGCAGCTCCTTCAGGGTTATCTTTGGTCTCTTTGTTGCCTCTCTGATTAATGCCCTCCTTGCCTGGTCCGTGAGTTTTGGTGGGCGGCCCTCTCTTGGCAGGTTTGTTGTGGTGCCATATTCTTTCAATTTTTGAATAATGGATTTAATTTTGCTCTGTGGGATGTTCAAAGTTTCTGATATTTTTTTATAACCCAACCCTGATCTGTACTTCTCCACAACTTTGTCCCTGACCTGTTTGGAGAGCTCCTTGGTCTTCATGGTGCCGCTTGCTTGGTGGTGCCCCTTGCTTAGTGGTGTTGCAGACTCTGGGGCCTTTCAGAACAGGTGTATACATACTGAGAACCCGAATGGTGCAGTGGTCTAAGGCACTGCATCGCAGTGCTAGCTGTGCCACTATAGATCCTTGTTCGAATCCAGGCTTTGTCGTAGCCGGCCGTGACCGGGAGACCCATGGGGCGGCGCACAATTGACCAATGGTCGTCCAGGGTAGGGGAGGGAATGGCCGGCAGGGATGTAGCTCAGTTGGTAGAGCATGGCGTTTGCAATGCCAGGGTTGTGGGTTCGATTCCCACGGGGGGCCAGTATAAAAAATAATGTATGCACTCACTAACTGTAAGTCGCTCTGGATAAGCGTCTGCTAAGTGACAGATCATGTGACACTTAGATTGCACACAGGTTGACTTTATTTAACTAATTATGTGACTTCTGAAGGTAATTGGTTGCACCAGATCTTATTTGGGGCTTCATAGCAAAGGGGGTGAATACATATGCACGCATCACTTTCCGTTATTAATTTTTTAGAATTTTCTGAAACAAGTTATTTTCATTTCACTTCACCAATTTTGACTATTTTGTTTATGTCCATTACATGTAATCCAAATAAAACTCCATTTAAATTACAGGTTGTAATGCAACAAAATAGGAAAAACGCCAAGGGGGATGAATACTTTTGCAAGGCACTGTAGCTAAAGGTAATGTGTCAGCCTATTAATTATGAAAATATAACTATTACTGTTGAGCGTGAAAAACCCAGCAGCGTTGCAGTTCTTGACACAAACCGGTGCGCCTTGCACATACTACCATACCCCGTTCAAAGGCATTTAAATATTTTGTCTTCCCCATTCACCCTCTGAATGGCACACATACACAATCCATGTCTCAATTGTCTCAAGGCCTAAAAATCTTTCTTTAACCTGTCTCCTTCCCTGTAGCTCAGTTGGTAAAGCATGGTGCTTGCAATGCCAGGGTTGTGGGTTCGTTTCACACGGGGGCCATAATGAAAATGTATGCACTCACTAACTGTAATTTGCTCTGGATAAGAGCGTCTGCTAAATATATCTACAACGATATAAATGGATTAAACAGGTAACATCAATAAGGGATTATAGCTTTTGCCTGGTCATTCAAAGAGCAGGTGTTCCTAAAGTTTTGTGCACTCAGTGTATACTATATAAGATCTTTGAGGAGAATTGCGGTCCATTGTCTGAAACTACTGTCTCCGTGACTCCATGGCAGTCAAAGGCTTATTTGATGGTGGCCTCAGTCGAAGTCACTCTCATTTCATCTACCTCAATGTATTTGGAGAAGTAATCAACAATCAGCAGGTACGTTTTCTTGTTCCACTCAAACAGGTCCATTCCCACCTTTTGCCACGGTCCTTCAGGAACTGAGGTAGGTATAAGCGGCTGTACTGTGTTTTTAGCAGATTTCACACCTGTCGACTGCTTGTGGGATTTGGAATAAAATTCCTGGCCACCACACTGACTGCTGGGCCCTTGCTTGGCACTTTGAGATTCCTTGATGTCCTTCATGGATCTTTTGAAGTATTTCACCTCTGAGTGTCTGTGGTATTTCAAGTCTTTCACCTTTCAGAATAAGGTCACCTGCCATGAGAAGCTCCGCCCTGACCTGCCAGAAAGGTGCCAAGTATGTGTGCAACTTGTGTTATCCCGGCCATTCGATAAGGCAGTATTGTTTAACCTTTTTGCAAGATTTGTCGGCTTGTTGTGCCTCTGTGGTCTGTTTCACTCGAGCCTCTGCAACTGGTAGTGAGGAAACGATGGTATCCATGTACACTATCTTGTCCAGTTGTAGGTCGTCGGTGGATGGTGCGTCACCCATCGGTGCCCTCGACAGCGTATCTGCAGTGATGAGATTCTACCCTAGCACATGGACGATGTTGTAGGTGAATCTCAGAAGTCGCAGTGGAAATCGTAGGACCCTGATCTAGGGCTCTGGAGCCTAGCAACAGTACCAGGGGTTTGTGGTCAGTTTGTAGTGTGAACTGCAGGCCCTGAAGGTAAGGAGTCAGTCTTTCACACGCCCACGTGGCTGCTAACGCCTCTTTCTCAATCTATGATTAGCGCTTCTCTGTATCAGTCATTCCTCTTGAGATGTATGTCACAGGTTTCCAAGTGTTGTCAGCCTGTTTCTGAGTCAGCACCGCACCTATGCCGTATGACGATGAGTCTGCTGCAACCGTCGTCTCAGCCGTGCACGAGTACTGAGCGAGCGCTTTTTGGAGAACTCAGTTCCTCCTTGAGCTTCTGAAAAGCAGTCTTTTGGGGATGCCCCCAGCACCACTCATTCCTCTCTCGCCTCAGCTCATTCAATGGCATGCTGTATGTAACCCGTTGGGGCAGAAACTTAGCAAGGTTGTTCGCCATGCCCATCAGTCTGCGAACATCTGCTACACATGTACCTTGACCTTGTTGGGATGTGGCTCCAGTCCTGAAGCATTAACCC